CAACCTTATGGCCCTCAGGAACTGCTTGCGCGATTGTTTGGATCAACGTTGGACGGGGAACGGTGTTGTGGTTTCGCACACGAAGTTCAATTTTATACTGAGATAAAAACGAAAGGAGATTAGATATGTCGAAGAAGTGTATCATTGATATTGAAATCACCGTGTACGTCGTATCGGGATGCTTGTCAAAAAACGATTTGAGAACGCGTTCGCAAAGCGCCTGGATCTCTGGTGGATTTGCAACGCAACTTCCGGATACAGGGACGAGACGCTGGATATATCTAGTTTGAAATTGAGCGTTGCGACGCTGGCTTGGATCATAGATGCCCACCGTGTTCCCGCTACGCCCGTTTCTTGCACAGTTTTTATGTGTTTCACTACCAGTTCCACGGGATCCACAGGTGGTTTGCACGATATGAAAAGCACTATGGTTTGAGTATCAGATACAGTCCGCGTGATCTGAACGTCCAATACTAACCGCATTGAGTATTCGTTTGGCAATTTGCTATGAGAGAAACAAGATATCAACGGTTAAGAGCACGACGATGCGGAAAAGGGGTCAATGACTGACCAAATCGCTGCTGTGGATTCGCACCTCGAGGGCGTTTGATATCTGAAAGCTCTTTTGCAATTTGATCCTCCAAGCTCAGCCCAGCGTCGTCTTCTTCATCGTCTGAATCCTTCCCTTCTGATGTCTCCGCGGGCCATAGATCAGAACCTATCTAATATGATATCAGAATGAAACATGGAGAGCAGAGCACGGCTCAACACACCGATTCGAATAGTTCATAGACTTCTCCGACGGCTTGCTTTTCCTTTCCTTTCACGCCTATTGGGACTTCAATGAAGGCTTTTCATACAGTGATCTCGACGCACAGCTCACCCATACCCCGGGTCCCTCTACGTGTCGTTTCCCCCAGATTGGAGTACCATCCTGATGTAAGTCGTATGAGCCATCTCAGTTTCTGCTAGGCAGAAAGTGATCCTCACAGATCGGTATTTTTTCTTGCGTCGGTCGTCGCCTGCCTGTGACTTCCGTTTTGATTCGGCCATATCTTGATTTCGTTTCCAGTGCTTGCTGTGCGTAGAACGCAGATTGACACTCGAGTAGATTGACCGTTTGAATCAAGGGCCAAGGAGGTATTCAAAAACGGCAAATGCCCGTCATATTATTTTTCTCACGGACCTCAACGTTCTGCATGACTTTGTGCTTAGTACTAGCAGTGCAAGCTTTGTCGTCTATAAGTTCATGATGTGAATGCAGTCGTACTCTGTAACGATATTGTTGACCTTGTCAATCTTACTGCCCTTCCGCACTTCACGTGTCACAGCCTGAATAGTAAATTTGCCAGAACGTGTAAAGTACTAATGTTACATTCATCGAGCCTCGGTCGGTGCAAGAGTGACGATGTATATCAAGAAGGATGATTTTATATGCGCGTCGAAAACATAGAAAACATTACTGCAAAGGAGTCAAATTGTTTGGTCATCAAAGCGTCAATCATCCACACATCAAGCTCCGAGGTGCTTTAGGCCTAACGCCCAAGCGCCTCAGATTTTATGATCCCAGACCCTCGCCGGAAGACGTGTCGCGAGGGCAATAGCAAAAAAGGAGAGGATAACGAAAACCACGTAGACAGCGTTACCCCCTAGAATATTCTTCTCGACGGAGTACGAGAAGAGCGAAGTCACCAGGGCAGGTCCTATGGCCCGAGCAATGGAGACCGTGGTCTGCGAGAGACCGTTTGTGGCTCCGAGAGAACGTTTGTTCGGCGCCGAAGTCGTAATATACATAAAAATCGTTCCTATACACGGATTATAAGCAGCTGAAACGCGTAAAACAAGAAGAGAGATCCACATACCGAATGCGATATCATTAAATGCTAACATCGACACAATCGAGCCAACCAAAATCCAGACCAGCCACGAATCGCACCCAAAATGCCGAGCGCAGAAGTTCACCATCGGTAGGGTAACAAAAATAAACGGATATGTGGACATGGCTGTAATGAACACCTTCCTTTCGCCAAAATGGCGCACGATGCGCGCAAAGCACAGCGCCTGGAAGATCGCTCCTCCTGCGCCATATGCGCCGATTATGAAGCCAATGGAACGCGGTTGGAGGTGCAAGCCTCCGATTTCAATGGGCATCGCCAGAAACAGCGGAAATAGCGCACTGACCGCGATGCTCAGGAACGCGAGCACGACGTAGTTGGAAATGGAGAGTATAACGCGGTATACGAGAAGTTCGCGAAGAGGCACGGGTTCGTCTTGAGGTTGCGTTTTTGTGATATCGTCATTTTCAAGAATAGCAATAGGATCGGATTTTTTCCGCGGATTTGTCTAAATAGGAATTCTTAGCAATGGTGTGCAATGAAGAACGATGATGACTTCGACTTACTTCTTTGAAAACTACAAGTGTGATAAGAAAGCCGAACAGAACAAAGCATGCAGGTACAAGACAAGGCAGGAAGTATGGGTATGTCTGCCAAAAGACACCCGAGAAGTATTTTGGAAAGTTATCGGCGGGTCGAGCTAGAGTACCTCCCAAAAAAGGTCTAGCGGACGCATGGTCAGATTTATTTTGAGCATATACCCAACGAAGATAAAGTTACCCAACGGTGGCGCCAAATCCCCACACCACAGGCAATAAAGAGAAACCTTCTGCTCTATTTGTGGAGTCCGTGAGTTCCCCCATTATGCTCTTCATGACACCTATGCGGTGAATAACTCATGAGATAATCTTCAACTGATATACTGCGCCAGACCATACCGATATTCCCATTAAGCAAACCATTAAAGCATCGACTAGAATGAATGCGCATTTAATTCATAGAAAGGAATCGAGTGAAACAAAAAAAACAGACCTGACAACAAGCATCCAGAAAGTTTTCGAAAGCCCAAAGCAAAGCATAGATACGGCGATTCCAAACAGCCCGATTAAGAGGACTGGTTTTCGACCAATGTAGTCGGACGCTCTACTCCATTGGAGCACGGTAAGAGCCTCGGTAGCGAAGAACAGAGATTCCTAGAACCGTCGTGCGTGAGGTAGGAGTCGGGAAAGGAAGGAAGATATGACATACAATCATCCCAGCATAATAGCCGACTTTTCGTTCATCTCCTCCAGTAACATCCAATTCGCTGATGAGCTGAGGGTGGCAGAACATGAGAAACAAACCGCATATATGCGCAAGCCGTAGGAGAAAACGTTGGACGTACCTGGTTGATGTACGGGAAAATCGACTGGGCTGCAATAGGTTCGCATACTTGCACCAGCATCACAATGGCGATTTGCATTTTGGGGAGGGGGGTCCTCATTGGAGGTTTTGGGACGGCATTGCTGTCTCCCAGCAGGTGCGTGCGCTCGTCGACCGGGATCTCAACCATGTCGTCCATAGTAAATGTCGTGAGGTGGAGTAGGAATCCAAAGACGATTCTGAACGTCGAGTCAGTTCAAGCAGGGCTCTATAACGAAAACACGCTCTTCGAAGACATACACTGCTGCAGAATGGAAGCACTAGGCTAATGTCCGTCGTTGGAGGAGATCTTCAGGAGAGGGGAAGACGCGCGCTCGACCTGCCACATACCTGAAAGAAGGCGCTATATAAGAACACATTAACTCGTTATCACAGCTCGGCAAAAGGGAAGGTGTTACCTCAATCCAACAGTATTCTTTCTCAGGACTGTGCATCCATGAGATTCATGCTTAGTGGGTTGGCGGCGATTCGGAGGGAAGACAGCTGTCGAGTGGGTTTCGGTGTAGAGATACGATGCGATCGTTGTATGTAATGAACCTCTGACTTCGCACGGACCCAATTCATATTACAGTTGCGTATGACAGTTTACATTCGTTTACTTGTTCTTCGAAGAACGCTAGAAAACATATCAATCTTGGTATTGCTTGTACACTCAACCGACTGCGATGAAATATCATGTTCTGCAGGGTTGGTATGCATCCGGATCCGCCATTTTCGCCATGGCGCAAGCGTGTTCGAACGTCCAACGTTTAACGTTCAGGAGCACACTTCGAAGAAACCGAGCTATGTGTCCGCCGCAGAGGTAATAATAAGCCGATAGCTAATCGGCCGGGATACGTATCATGATCCGTGGTTTTACCAGCAGCAGCGGTGATCAGAAGTGCTGTGGCATTGTCAGGCGTGTAATATTGTTGTATTTATTGTGAAAGTGCTCGCTGTTATTTAGGCTCGGAAGTCGGGGCGGGGGCGCCTTAGTCTCCCGTAGGTAGACTCTGATAGTATCGTCCATCGCCGTGGCACACACAATTATATCTTTCTTCGCAATGAATCGACGACGATTAGTCGACTAAAATCTTTGGCGCAAGCCTCGAGATAAGCAACGGGCGGAGGCTTACACAGAACACTAGGAATTAGAGCTACACTTACCATCATATATGCTCCCTTCCTCTCCGCTGACCTGCAACGCGTCTAGACTCCAGCAGCTCAAAATCCAACACCTACAAATCCGGTTATCCTTTTCGAAAGGAAAGCCGCCCGTCTCGCATAGCGGTTGTGAGTGGCAGTTCGGTGCCGCTTGCTAGGCGAGTCTGGTGCTGATGAACGTTCGACCCTTTGCTTCGTCAATACGACACATGTTACGAGGATAAGAGTCATTATAAGACCTTCTGATCTGGCAAGCACGGCGGAGAGTAATAAGATATGTGAGAATGGCGCAAGTGGAATTGAACTCGGGCGACGGATAGCGTGTTTTAATCTACCTTCCGAAGATGGTGGTAGTGGAAGATTAAGAGCGGCAATCGCGACGCGAGCGCGGTTAGCAGGGGCTCGGGTAGAATTCGAAGGGGTTTTCACAATATAGTTCCTTCCAAGCGTATATTCAGGCTTCATTGGCGATAGTCTCTTATGGCATAAAAATTACTCGACGTAACCTCACCACCAAACGAGAAAAGTCTGAAAAGAAAAGAAATCTTTCAGAAGCGCAACCAAGGGGGACATAAAAAATTACTTAGGCAATACGTACAAGCCGCGTTGGCGTAGTGGTAGCGCGTCTCACTTGTAAGCACCTGGTGCTAAGCAATGAGAAGGTCATTCGTTCAATCCGGGTACGTGGCAATTTTTGCATCTTTTTCCATTTCTCGGACTTCCGGGTGCCTACATCGTGGCCAATTTTAGACCTGAGTTCACCTTCAATCCAGCATCAAGCCCCAGCAATGTAATCCATTGTTCCTGCTCCACTCACACATGGACGACCGACCGGGCGCTCGATCGCAGTAAACTTAGATGAATACCGTCACTTCGCAGAGCGCATCGCCTCAATCGAACATAATTACGCAGCAGATAGTCATCAAATAATCGTTATCACACATTTTCGGGGATTCAACGCAGTAAGTAGTTTCTTGCCATTCTGGCAAATAGTTCAAGGGAAAGCACAAGAAAACTCTGATCATTCGTCGATGGTGAATAAGTAACGCATTTACAAACAAAACAAGTTCAGTAAAGTAGTGGGGAAAAACTCGTCCAAATTCACCATCGCCGGTCAGAGAGGACATAGACAGAATGAACATTATAATTAGGTAGGCCGTAGTCGTGACGACCGAATAATAATAAGTACGGGGGAAGAAAAAAAACAGACAAAACGGAGAAACAAAACAGGTGTGAATTCGTGAGTGAAGCAAGTGAGCGTCGGTAACTAGCATATACAAGAGGGATGTTGGTTGGGGATTGGGGCAGAGCAAACCCCTATGTGACGAGGTGAACAGACGTGCGATGATCTAGCGGGTGGTGTAGTGTACAGATAGAAAGACAGTAAGAGAGATAATCGATAACGGAGTAAAGCGAGTGGAAGGCGTATGTTTCAAGAATGGGCGTATGTACAGCGAATTTATGCCTCCCAAAAAAGACACGAAAACACTCAAGAAGAAAAGAAGAAAAAGATAAATACACTAGGGCAGCCAAAAAAAAAAAAAACCATACCCAACAACGTTGCGGATATTTCTTTCATCAGAGCAAGGATATAGACACAAGACACACGGAAAATGGAGAGTAGCGCCAATGGCAACCGGGCCACGAAGGGGCTTCATCGGCGGATGGAAGGAAATCGAGTCCCACAGATCATACCAGCGCCGCTGACTGGAGATACCCTCTGAATATGGAGTCGCGAACTTAGATAAAATGTATCAGTACATTGTGCTTGGTCACATATCATGATATGAAGGATCAAACATACCGTTTCCAATAATTCGCTGTGTAGCTTTCGTATCCTGAAATGGTTGTATATCAGCACGGCTATCGGAAGAAGCATGCATGACATGAGAGAGGACGTACGACGACGCTGGTAAAGTGCGTATATAGCACGCGACGATTTTCGTTGTTCCTGCGATGGACCTGGAGGAAGTGGGCACGGAAATACTGCACCACGGTCTCGTAGTCGTTTGACCGCTCCCCGAAAGAAGTGATGCTACGTAGATAACCATATAAGCGAAAAGTAGGGAACACTGCGGCCGCATACACGCACTATTTTCGCACTTTCAGGCCTCGATCCAGCTTTGTCCGTAACAAATCAGTCTTATCTAAAGAACGTGAGAAGACAATCAGTACCAGCAATCACATTTAGATGACGAAGGCGACATACTGAGGAAGAGAACAAGATGGACACTCTTCAAAAGGGCATTCGAGCAAATCTGCGTGAACAATTGAAGCGAATCATCGATCCGGTTCGTTCTGGGATCTTCCTCCAGGTACTAAGATGTCATGTTAGAAGACGGGTTCTTTCGAGGAAGAAGAGTAAAAGCAGTACCTGATCGAAGGCGCTCACAGGGGCCACGAAAATAATAGCATTGGCATCGTCGAAGTAGGGTACCCACGAATGCCGTTGTCCACGGGCACCGCCCACGTCGTACAGATGCCAGGTGACTGACTTTCCGTGGATGTTGACATCAAATATGTGCTCAGCAACACCCATAGTCTGAATACGAGCGTGCAAAATGTCATCTGAGGGAATATTAGTTCGTATATGCGCTAGAATCTGAGAAGATATCAGCCGTACCCGTCGTGGGGATGTAGTCTGCTGCTGCCACACGAGAGATATACTTCAAAAAGCTAGATGAAGACTGTTGGCATCCGCAGTGCAAAGACGAAACAGAGTGCGACGTACAATTCGGACCACTCATCCAACTTCAGACGTCGCTTAGCAATAAGATGCTTAACGGTCGGATGTCCCCAAAGTTCGTGAATGTCATCCTCGCTGACCTCGAGCAGCCGTGCGACTTCCTCCACCATAGGATCAGGTGGTATTTCTGAAGACACGCTCTCCCGAGCTTTCTTCTCACTGGTGTTGGGACGCTTTTGCTTCATCTTCCCAATAGCATTTTCGATGGTGCGCGCCTGCCACCCACTGCGTACGTACACCCCACCTTTGCCGGAGCCGGAGACAGAAATGCCGCCGCTTAACCTGTCTGCAAGTTGCGCATCCATGGTGACAAGCGGGCCTAGTCTGCGTCGGAGGTTCGCAATATGGTTAGCGCCAGAACTAGTCGACGTAGACGGACTTCCAGAAGTAGAGGACGAATGGCCAGCAGAGCTCTGAGCGCCATTGGCATCCGCAACATCCAGAAGAGAGGTCGAAGGGGACGGCTGGTCCGCTATAGCGTTTCCGTTTTTACGGCGGACAGTCTGAATGTCATCGAGACCAGCAGCATCGTCGGCATCGTCGGCGACGTCGTCCCAGGCCTCCAAAGTATTGAGAATGTGCTTGAGAGAACGGACGACGTTGAAATAGATGACAGTCCGCCAGGAAAGACGTTCCTGGTCGAGCGAGTTGGGCTTATACATGAGCTGGAACTGCTTCTGGAGCGTGGATTTTCCACTCTCTGCCTGTCCGAGGAGGAGCAGCTGCGAAATACGAACGCGTATGTGAGTATATGCGCGAATAGTTGGACGCGGGGACATTTCCAGACCTTAACGTCTGTCTTGCGCTTCTTCATGCGCTCGCGCTCCTCCCTCAGGTCCTCGTCGATCTGCTCTGAAACCCGCTTGGCTTCGGCCTCATCCTCGAGGCGTACGGCGCGCTCTGACTCTGTCTCTGAGGAGGGCGGCTTCATGGCGGCTGTGATGGGGTCATCTTGGGAGTACAGGGAGGGGGAGCGCATGGCTGGTGGGGATGTGATGGTCGTAAAGATACAAGCCACGGTTTACAGAGAGCATATTAGTGTGTGTGACTGCTATAGCTTCTGTCACAGTCTCACACTTGATCGTTACACATCTAATGAAGCACAAAAATGGTACTGTCTTCCGCTCCATCATCTCCACAGCCGCGCACTGACACCAGCACAGTCTGTAACTCTCCACACAACCCACGGTGATCTCAAGGTATGCCCCCGCCCTCTGTCACCCGCCATCGCTGACACCCTGCCAGATCGAAATATTCTGCGAGGCCACACCAAAGGCAGCTGAGGTATCCCATGACGTCCTGTACAGGCTGCACCCCGCTCATGCACAGCCCAGAATTTTTTAGCGCTATGTGCATCGGGCTACTATAACGGATGCCTATTCCACCGCAACATCAGGGGCTTCATGGTCCAGACGGGCGACCCAGCGGGCACTGGTAAGGGCGGCCAAAGCATATGGGGAGCTCCCTTCGCAGACGAAGTCAGGTCGACGCTCAAGGTCACTTTTTAATTACTAATTTCGAGCCCCTGATCCGACCCGAATTTCTCTTCCTAAGTTCAATACCCGAGGCGTTGTCGCGATGGCCAACTCGGGTCCCGACACGAACAAGTCACAGTTTTTTATCACGTATGCAAAGCAACCGCACCTGGACGGCAAATACACCATCTTTGGCAAGGTAATCGACGGCGCGGATTCGACACTTGACTCGATTGAACGCGTCCCAGTTAATAACAAAAACAGACCGCTAAATGAAATCAAGTTAACGAGTGTATGTATCTATCAGTCCTCGCGGTCATCAGTTTCTTAACAGAATTTCAGGTCACAATCCACTCTAATCCCATCGCGGACGCTCAACTAGTGGGACGATGATGGAAACTAGACAGGGGAATATACATGCCTTGAACAGGCGCTGCCGTGCATCGAGGCATGACAAGCCCGAGTCTTATGCGCGGAAGAAGACAACGGACGTCTTCTGGAGCTTCCTTGCTTCACTCGATTGTACATGTATTAATATTAATTCGTTGCAGTGGAAACCTCCCCAGCGCCAGGCTCTCATACCCATGACCTGGCAATTCCATACCAAAGATTCCAGAAAATTAAGTACACAATATTCCTGTCAACCTCAACTCTCCGGGGGCACCGGCGCATCACCGTTTGATAAAGCCTACGAGCTCTTTCTGCAGTTCCTTTTGTCGTCGCGCTTTCTCAAGATCCTCTACGCTGCGCAGGTCATAAACGATATCGCGTGTCTTGCCGAAATACACCTGTCATCAAAAATTAATGTCAAAAGTCAACGCGTGTGGGGTACGTAGCGAGGGAGTGAGGGAAAATGCGCACCTCTTGAAGTAAATTCCGCATCTTAATCTCAATCTCCTCAATCATTTTCCCAATGTTCGTGATGTGTGAAGCGCTATCCTGTAGAGGCCAGTCTTGCTCAGTCTGTCATGCCGCAACGTATAAGCACGTTGGTAGATGCGCGAACATCGCAGGTACACAGAAACATAGTAAGTTGTATGTAGTCAATAGGAATAGATAGGGAGGGAGCTTGCCTGTCGTGTCATACTCCCACTCAAGGTAACCTCCCCATCGCGCTTCCAGTTCTCCGGCACCTTCTTGTCCGCAGGCACCTTCACATCAGTTTCCGTGCCTTTCCTTGTCACGAGCTGCAGCATGACGGTCGACGTCAGCTTATAATGGGCCTGGCGTCCGCGCTCTACCGTCTCGAATACGTGAATCGAGTCCCAGGAGCCTGACGGCTCGTACGGCATCGTGGGCGACATGGCTTGAGAGAATAGGAGAGCATCAGCCATCATGATGATATGAAGTGTTTTCTGGATGGATAACGCCAACGCCGACGCCAATGCCACCCAATCACAACTAATGAAGTCACGCACTTTTCTTGAGAACGACGACGCCAGCGAAGTTGCTCCCGCCGCTTGGGTCTT